CCCCATTTTCTCGGGGCTAACCCCCGTTTTCTCCCAGAATACACCCCAATAACCCCATTTTCCCCCGGAACACACCCCCGTAACCCCATTTTCTCAGGGCAAACCCCCATTTTCTCTCGATAAACCCCCATTTTCTCCCGGAACACACCCCCGTAACCCCATTTTCTCCCGGAACACACCCCAGTAACCCCATTTTCTCCCGGAATACACCCCAATAACCCCATTTTCTCAGGGCTAACCCCCATTTTCTCCCGGAATACACCCCAGTAACCCCATTTTCTCGGGGCTAACCCCAATTTTCCCCCGGAACACACCCCAGTAACCCCATTTTCCCCCGGAACACACCCCAGTAACCCCATTTTCTGTCAGTAAGCCCCCATTTTCTCTCGATAAACCCCCGTTTTCTCCCGGAACACACCCCAATAACCCCATTTTCCCCCGGAACACACCCCCGTACCCCCATTTTCTCTCGACTACCCCCGTTTTCTGTCGCCACCCGCCGCCCGGCGCGGCGCGGGCGCGCCGCTGAGCGGGGCCGTTTCTTTGGCAGAGGAGGCGAAGGCGGAGGGCGCGGGGGGGACGTGGCTGGCGGCGCGGCCCGGGCGCAAGAAGCGCTGCCCCTACACCAAGCACCAGACGCTGGAGCTGGAGAAGGAGTTCCTGTTCAACATGTACCTGACCCGCGAGCGCCGCCTGGAGATCAGCCGCAGCATCGCGCTCACCGACCGCCAGGTCAAGATCTGGTTCCAGAACCGCCGCATGAAGCTCAAGAAGATGAACCGGGAGAACCGGGTCCGCGAACTCAGCGCCGGCTTCAGCTTCAGCTGAGCGCCGCGGGCCGGCCGGGCCGCCGCCCTGGGAAACCGCCGGCCTTTCCCCTCTTCTTTGCGCTTTTCTGGGGTTTTTTGGGTTTTTTTTTTAAATTTTTTGGGGTTTTTTTTGGTTGTTTAATCCATATTTTATTGGGTTTTTTTATTTTATTTTATTATTTTATTTCGTTATTTTATTCTTTTATTTTATTATTTTATTTCGTTATTTTATTCTTTTATTTTATTATTTTATTTCGTTATTTTATTATTTTCTTTCGTTATTTTATTATTTTATTTCGTTATTTTATTTCGTTATTTTACTATTTTATTTTATTATTTTATTTTATTTTTCGTTATTTTATTATTTTATTTTATTATTTTATTTTATTATTTTATTTTATTATTTTATTTTATTTTGTTATTTTATTTTGTTATTTTATTTTGTTATTTTATTTCATTATTTTCTGTTATTATTTTCTGATTTTATTTTATAATTTTATTTTATTATTTTCTGATATTATTTTCTGATTTTATTTTATAATTTTATTTTATTATTTCATTATTTCATTTTATTATTTCATTATACTATTTTATTTTATTATTTTATTTTACATTTTCTTTCATTATTTTATTTTATTATTTTATTATTTTATTTTATTTTATTTTACTTGATTTTACTTGATTTGATTTGATTTGATTTTACTTGATTCTATTTTACTTGATTTTACTTTTCCCTTTTTATTTTATTTTACTTTATTTTATTTTACCTTATTTTTATTTTATTTTATCTTATTTTACTTTATTTTATTTTCTTCTTTTATGATTTCTTTTATCCTTTTATTTTATTATTCCATCTTATTATTTCATTTTGTTATTTTATTTTGTTATTTTATGTTATTTCATTTTCTCATTTCATTTTCTCATTTCATTTTTTCATTTCATTTTATCATTTCATTTCATCATTTAATTTCATCATTTCCTTTCATAATTTCATTTCATAATTTCATTATTTCATTTCATCTCATTTCGTTGTTTTATTTTGTTCTTTTATTTAGTTATTTTTATTTTGTTCCTTTATTTTTTTATTTTATTTTATTATTTTATTTTGGGGTGGTTTTGATTTTTTTTTTTTTCTGATTCGTTTTACTCGGGCCCGCAAAAACCCGACACGCCGAAACGGCGAAAAAATCAAATAAAACAAAAGGACCTCGAGTGGTTTTTTGCGCTCTGAGCGCCACGAGGGGATTTTGCACCCCGCGGTTTCTCGGAGGGGAAATAAAAGGTGGAAAACAAGACAGTCGCAAAAAAAAAAAAAATTACAAAATCCCGACCTTATGAAATATTTAAGTTATTTCCGTGCAGCACAAAGCAGAAGGACTTTTCCCCCAGGTGTGGTTTTTATGTTTAGGAGGGAATAAATGCCTCCCAAAGTTTGTTGGTTTTGGATTTTTTTTTTCCTCCCCCCCCAAATCCTAGCGTAGCTTGGCTGTTGTACAATAAAAACGGCGGAAAAAGCAACAAAAAAAGGAGAAAAAAGACGGATTTCATATGGGTGTGTGTAAATTGGAGTTGCAGTGGGGACACCTCCCGCCCGCAGTTGTGCAGCTCCTCCCAGGGACAGCGGTGCCATCCTTAAAATAAAATAAAATAAAATATTTAAAGGGAATGGAGAAGGGAAAAAATGGGGTGGGGGGCGAGGAAAGGAAAAAAATATTTTAAAAATCAGAGGATTGGGTGATCTGATGATTGGGGTGGGGGCGAAGAAAAGGAGAAAAAAGTCAAATTCTCGTGGCTGTGGTATTTAAATATATCCTGTATGTGTTATCCTGTGCATGTATCTTCCTTTACGGAGCCAAAATAAATTTCATAGAACCGTGGACGAGTGGGTTCCTTAAAAATGTAGAAAAAAAATTATTTATTTATATTTTTCCCTTTTTTTTTTTTTTTTTTTTTTNTGTAGGGGGAGCCGAAGAACCATTTCTTCCCCACCTCCCCCCCTCCACCACCACCTCTATATATAAGATTTCTTTTTTTTTTCCCCTCTCTCTCCTCAAGACTCATCCTTTTAAGGCTTCAGGAGCCTCTCCTGGCGGGGGGATTTTAATACGAGCCCCATAACGTTGATTTAAATATTATCCAGGTGACCACAATAAGTCAAGGTCATAAAACAGTAATGTCAGGACAGTCTCGGCGAGCGCTGGAGGTGGATTTTATGATCTGCAAATATAATGTGCCGCAGCAGTAAAAGATGCATTTAAAGGTGACGGTGCGGGAGGGAAGGGAGGCAGAGCCGGCGCGGCGACCTTGGGATGCGCAACTCCCTCCGCGCGGATTTTTTATTTTTTGGGGGGAGCTGCCCTGGGATTACACCCCCAAAAAACCGCGATTCGGGATGGCGGCCGCAAGGTAAGAGCGGAGATTTCCGTCTCTGCGCGGATTTTATTTCTATTATTGTTGTTATTGTGATGATGATGATTGCGGGGTTTTTTGACTCCCTCCGCGCCCGGGTTTTCCCGCAGCCCCGCGCGTTTTCCTGGCGGGGTTTTGCGCGCCTGGCAGCGGGATTTCCGCGCGGAAATTCCCGGTTTTCCCCTCATTTGTTCTCCCCGAACCTCGGAACTCGGCGGCGCGGAGGAGCCGCGGAGGCTGCGCGGAGCGCGGGGATTGCGGCAGTTTCGGCAATTTCGGGGCGAACCGCGGGATTTGGAGCATTCGGAGGATTTGGAGGCGCGGCGCTGCGCGGGGTGCGGAGCCCGGCGCGGGTCTGGGTCCCACTGCCGGCAGCCCCGGGGCGGATTTGGGCTGGATCCGCGCGATTTGAGCGGGGGAGGTGGGCAGGCGGCAATGCGAGAATTCCGCATTTCCGAGCTCATTTCCGAGCTCATTTCCGAGCTGATTCCCCCCAAAATCGCCGCCGCGCCAGCGATTGAATCCATTGGCATCGGAGGCTGACGCATTGAAAACGCCGCTCCGGGTTTATTTTTATTCATTTTGGCGTTTCCGAGCATTTCCCGAGCTGCGAATTTCGGGCAGACAGAGGCGCGAGGGGTCGAAGGGAGACCAGCAACAAAGGGGCGAATTTCCTCCCTTCCTCTCCTTTTTTCCTCTTTTTTTCCCCCTCTTTCCCCCACCTTCCTCCCAGCCCCGTTTCCCCTCCCTCCTCTTCCTCTGGCCGGGTTTTTTTTGCCCTTTTCCGCCCGTTCTGACAGAAATCGCGTGGATGCCAGCGCAGCTGATCTGTGGTTTAGGTAGTTTCATGTTGTTGGGATGGGCTTTAGGCTCGGCAACAAGAAACTGCCTTAATTACGTCAGTTCGTCTTCATCAAGGGCAGCACCCGCAGCTCCGCCGGGCGCCCTAAAAATAAAATATATAAAAACCCCAAAATCCCACCCAAAATCCCGGTCCTGATGGGGACCGCCACCCAAACCCGCGCCGACCCCCCCAGCGCGCCCCTCGCGGGGATTTTTGCCCTTTTTCTTTGATTTTTTGCCCCTTTTTCTTTAATTTTTGCCCTTTTTTTATTTGATTTTTGCCCTTTTTTTTAATTTTATTTTTTTGCCCCTTTTATCTTTGATTTTTGGCCCCTTTTTTTTTTTTTTTTTTTTTTTTTTTTTTTTTTTTTTTTTTTTTTTTTTTTCCCCTTTTAATTTGTTTTTTTTTGCCCCGATTTTCCCCCTTTTGTTGCTGGGATGATGAGGACAAAAGCAGTGCTTTTTGCGCTTTTCCACCCCAAATTATCAGTGATGATTGGCAGAGCCCCGGCGCGGGGTGATGCCTTTAAAAAATGAGAGGAAAAAAGGAAATTATTAAAAATAATTGTAAAAAATAACCAAAATTCAAATCCCCTCCCCTTTTCCTCCCTCCCCCGTGGCGGCTTTTCAAATCCCAAATTTAAAAAAAAAATTAATTTTTTGAGCTGGGAAGGCGATTTGGGGGATTTTTGGGGGGTTTGGCTGAGGAGGGGGTGTGGGGTGCGCTGAATTTTGGGGGTCTGCGCTGAGAGCGCCCCTCGCGCCCCCTTTTGCTGATAATCCCCTAAAAAAACCCAAAATTCGCAGGTGAAAAAGGGGGGGAAAAAAAGTAGAATTTTGGGGTTTTTAACTCCTCCTGCTGCCGGTGCCTCCAGCCAGGGATTAAATTTAAAATTCTCCCCATTTTTGGCACGCTTTAATCTGGATTTCCAACTGTTCTGTGGAGCCTGGATTGGGAATTCAGGAATTAAATCCTCTGGAATAAAAACACGGGGAAAAAAAAACCCACAGGAATTGGGGCTGGAGGAAACCAGGCGTTTATATTGCACGAGCAGAGGGGAAAAAAGTGATTTTCCCCCTTTTTCCCCCTTAAAACGCGCTGGGAAAGTTGGAAAGTTGTGCCAGCGTTTGAATGCCAAAAACATGGAAAAAATGGAAATTTGTGGGATGAAACGAAGCAAAAATCGCGGGGAAAGAGGAATCGGTGTGGTCTGGAAACGCCAAGAGGATAAAGTGAATTTCGGAGTGGAAATTTGGGGATTTTGGGGACTTTTTCCTGCTGGTTTTGGTGGATTTGTGTGTCTTGACACCCCGAAAATGCGGATTGTGCCGGAGTCGGGGTGAGCCTGGGAGGCGCAGGTTGGAATTGAGGCAAAACTCGGAATATTTGGGATTTTCGCTGCGGGCAGGTCGAGGTTCGGCCGGAATTGTGAATTTTTGGTGTTGTTTTGGCTGCCGGATTGTGATTTTTCGGTGTTTCCCCCAGTTTTGGTTTCTCCCTCGAAAACCTGAGGGCGAGCTTGGTGCGGCAGGAGTTGATTTCGATGGCAAAAATCGCGGTTTTTTCCCTCAAACGGGGGCTGGGGCTGGGGATTGTGGCCCAAAGGAGAATAAAATGAATGACTTATTGAATATCTGATTTTTATGCTCTGTTTGGTGTTAAAAATGCTCTGTTTAAAGCGCGGAGTGTCGCTGATTTTGCTGGTTTGGGGTATTTTCGTCAATCTGGGGCAAAAAACCCGGAATTTAAAAGTCGCTAAAAGGGCA